GTAGTGAGCTCCTGTGTGAGGCCTCCTGTGTATTAGTTACAGTCCAGTTTGCTGTGTTGTGTAGGGACTGCAAATGACCCAATCTGCAATGTGAGGCCATGATTGATTCTCCTCTGGCTTTTTCCTATTTTTAGCTGTATTGATTAAGATTTTTAGTATGTTTGGTTTGGTTTGGGTTGTTTGTTTTTTTGTTTGTACTTTGGTCAAGCAGGAAAGCTGATGCTCATTGTGCCTGGCAATCCTGCAAACTCCAAAAACATAAAATTATCCAGCATGGAGAGTATCTCTGATCCATCTCTTGATGCTGTACAAGTATTCAGATAATCCTAAAAACAGAGAAAAAGAGAATGGTTTGTGTTGGAATGGACCTTAAAGATCCTCTGGTTCAGCCTCCTCTGCCATGGGCAGGGACATCTTCCAGCAGGGCAGGTTGCTCAGAGCCCCACCCAGCCTGACCTTGAATATTTCATTCAAGAAACACAACTTCATAAATGGATGTTTCCTAAGGTGCTGGTTTTCTCTGTGGCCAACATGGAACCAAAATTTTGGCATATGTTGATAGTGGAACTAAAGGCTGTGAATGCAGCATAAGGAGAGTGAGAGCTCAGTTCTGTGCCGGGAAAATCAATGACTCCGTGTGGGTTTGGTTGGGAAGTGATTTGATTTCATGCTTGGTGCCAAAGGCAGTGCCATTGCTGTTCTGCTCCTGGTTTCTCTGTCATGAAAGACAATGACAGTCCTCCAACAATAACACTTTCCATGGTAACTGCTCCTGTAGAACCTTAATTCTTGGCTAGAACTGCCAATGAATCCTGTGTGAAACCTCCATTATCCAGCTGTATTTCTATGCCACAATGTGATACAGAGTTTCCTCAGAGTTGTAATTTCCCTTTCTTTCAGGCCTTTGTTTCTAGGAAGGTTGCAGCCCATTTTCACAATTCGGATCAGTACTTTTAAATATGAAACAGTGACTGATATATTTCAGCACATCCTTACTTCAGCCACTGAAGACTGACCGGTGTGTGGGGAATAGGAGGCAGAAGGAATAAGAGAATCTGTTGTAATTTGTCAGCAGATTTACCTTGAGAAAGAGGCTGATGAGAAGCTGTTTGAAATGATGGTTTCCTAACTGTGCAAGGTGAGCAGGCCATGCAGTAGAAAAAGTTACTGAGCTGAGGACAGAGTTTGAAATGAGGCCCCCCTGTCCTGCTGTTCTGTGTGAAACTTTTTGGTCAAAATTGCAGGTTGAGACCGTAGTGACTTCCAGGTGCCCTCAGGGATGAATTTGAGGGCCTGCAATGAAGGTCTAGAAGACTTCACTCTAGGCATCTGACTACTTGTTCTCTTCTAATATATACCTTATCTGATTATTGTTTTGCGTGTTTCTCTGTGGGTTTTTTCTGTGCTCAATTTTTTATTCTTTTGGTTTACTCATTATGTGGGTATATTTTGAATTTTCAAAAAGCTTTCTTGTATAAGCAACATATGGTTTATTAGTGTCCCATGCTCTTGTTCCAGTGGGAGTCCCTTGCTCTGCCTTCAGTGGAAGGCATGAGATATGAGAGAGACTTTGTGTTCTATTGTTATTGGAAGAAATAGATGTAAATATGACTTTAGTAGATGTTACATCTCTGTGGAACACAGAATGTGATAAGGACGAAGAGGAGATTCTCTTGAAGCCAATGGTTTGATGAGCCATTCTCCATTGGTGACTGCTGATCTTTTAGTGTGGTTGTTTATCATTCCTGTGCTCTAGAATCGTTCAGTTCCTGATCATAATGGTGGTGAGCAGACAATTGTACCTCCCTTGTGGGTGTGGCTGAAGTGCATTATCATCTCCTGAT